GTTGGTTGTGGGCGTGGGTTAAAGTCAAGCGCTAACTTCCAGCAGCACAGGGCCGAAAATAAGCCGGAAACAGACGAACGAGCGAGGGCCAGAGGAAAGACACGGCGGCGGAGGGACAGCGGACCGAACGACGAACCGAAGCCCAAAAACCCGCAGGGGCAGCCAACCAAGGCAAAGACTAAGCCAGCACAGCCTCTTGCCTTGAGAGGCCGAAGTCCTGTGGCGGCCCCAAGTCGCAGAATATCTGTCTCTGTGCAGCGCGCCTCCAGCACCACCACTCCTTACACCTCCCCCGCCCCTACAGTCGGGGCCTTGACCCAAGGAACCCAAAATAAGGAACGAGGCCCCTCTGCTCCATAAGTTGAACTTCGATGTCCGACCGAAAACATAAGGCAAACCTGAGGCAAGCCGCGAAACACTTAAGGAACGCGGAGCCCCTCCCCAACGAAATGGGTTCCCTCTTCAGGGCCCCGACTGTACGTAAGACAGGACGACATGGGGGCAGTGCTCGACCCTGACGTCTCGGGCGTCGGGCTCCGCCACGGCTGTTGGCGATCGGCACAGCCCCCCTGTGGCGGCTGGCGTTCTGACATCTACAAAGACAGGCAAACCTGGATACAGTCGGGGCCCTGAAGAAGGAACCCTTTTGGTTGGGGAGGGGCTCCGCGTTCCTTAAGTGTTTCACAGCTTGCCTCAGGTGTTCCTTCTGTTTTCGATCGGAAATCGAAGTTTAACTTATGGACAAAAAGGGGCCTCGTTCCTTATGTAGGGTTCCTTAGGTCAACGCCCCGACTGCATGCAAGCAGCACCCGAGGAAACTGAATCTATAGATCTTGCTTGATGTTATCTTTGTGAACGCGCGAGAGCAAGCGCAAATATCAGCATCAGTCGGAGTGGTTATCGTCGGGAGCTGGGCACGAACACGGCTGGACGAGAGGTGCAATATCATCCTCCTATCTAAGAGCGGTCGACACATCAAGCAACTGCTCACGCTCGGACAAGCCCACTCGCACAGGAGGGGCGGGGTACTGAAAACAAGGGGCTGCCAGTAACCATTCGGCATTGAACAAGGCCTGGAATGCGCAACAAAAATCACAAGCAACAAAAATCACAAGGTCGGTCGATTGGACCGACCTCACCAAGAGGTGCGTTTGACACAGGGCGCCTGCCATCTAACATGCGACCCAGGCGGCTGGTAGTTCCAGGAGCACGAAGTCTGCTAGCACAATCGCGCCTCAAATCAGCTACCCCTGTTCTAGAATAGCGACCGCATCGAACACAGACAATTCATATCTCTGAAGCGTCGGAGTGTATGACCTCCACTGGGCGGATTGTCACAGCTGGACCTAAGTAGCAGCTGTTTTGAGACACCAGTGGTCCAGCACTTAACAAATCGAAGCGACCAACCTCAGGGTCCCAAACGTGCTGGTGCAAGGCACCTTTAAATGCTCCAGGCAACGCCAGCTTGGGACGGAAGGCGGCTCCGCATCAGCTTGCCAGACGTGATCCGGCACATGCTCAAAGATCAAAGCAACACAATGACCAATGTTTACATTGGTCATTGTGTACATTGCTCAGTACATTGCTCAGTACATCATTGCTCAATGTACATTGTGTACAAGCAACTCAATGGTCAACGCATTGAATGTACTGAGCATCTTGAGCGGCAACTATAGTGGGCTGCGTGACACGGTCCAACCTAATATGATCCTTGAAGCGGAGGGCTGCACCTAGCTTAACCAGAAGATCGGCCTCTGGACGTCCATCGAAGTGCTCGCCTGCAGCTGTGCGACTATGGTGAGCGCGTGCTCTGATGAGCTTTAACAAGTGGTAGCCTATATCGGAGGCTATGCGGTGTATCCCCTGCTAGGGATAGAAGAAGAAAAACGCCATAAACACAAACTTGTGGCCCTCCGCGCGGATTTCTGGGATCCAAGAACTGCAGCGCGGAACGCCACACATTATGGTTATGGCGTCTTTTTTCTTCGAAGGGAGCTACGCTTGGGCTCTGAAGGGGGGGAAAAAAGCAGGTGCCAAAACGATAGCACCTGCATGGGGCAAGCCGTGCCATCGCTGCTCCGCCCTCGCGACTCTCCCTCTTTCGGCGGCGAGCGAGGGGGGGAAGTGAGAAGGAGAAGGCCTTCTGAGAAGGCGGCGGGACTCCTCAGAAGCCCTCGCGCCTTCCTGACAAGTACGTGCTGTCTTCGGGGAGGGCCTCGCAAACCTCTCAGAAGGCCGGGGGACCTCCGAGCCTTCTGAGAGGGCCCTCTCCTTCCCGCTTCCCCCTCTCGCTCGCCGCCGACTTCTTGAAGGGACCCTGGGACACACAAATAAATACACACAAATAACAAACATCCCCATATTTTCCCATCTTTTCTGGGATTTTGTCTTCCCCTCCACTTCCCATATTTTCCAATATTTTCTGGGGAATCGCCGATTCATTGTGCCTGTGTGTTTCTTTCCCTCCTGATTTCTGCCCTCCTCGATCCTGAGGGCCCTC